GGAAACCCAATACAGGGTTGCTATGAGTCGGAACAGACTCCACGGTACATAATCACAACCACCACCACCACCACCACCACATGTGATTATATAAGCTAGGTAGGAGCAAATTATGGAAGAATTTAAATTCCATGTGAATTGAATTCAGACTTCATTATGTAGGCAATCATAAGTTTCCAAGGCAGAATAGGGAGATGATACTATTAGAATTGTCCTTTAAAACTACTGCTCCAATACTTATATAGAGGAAAGAATGTGTAGGGACAGAAAGCAGTATATCCAGATAAGTGACTATCATAGTACTATGCAACAGAGACGATACAGATCAAACTGAGAATAAAATGAAAACAAGAAGGAATGAGAGAGATTGGAAATTTAAAAAAAAAAGTCAAAAGATTTGGAAGCCAATCACCAGAGAAATACAAAAATAACTAGGAATCAAATATTGTAAAATTTTGATTAGTAAATCTTCTAATCTAGATTGAATAGAAGGATGGTTGCTTAAGAAAGGAACATATGGTGGAAATGAGAAAGTAAAGTACATGATTTTGATAGTGAATATTTTGACATGTTGAATTCAAAATGCCAGTAAGACATTCATAGTGAGATATTCAACAGGAAGTTAGAAACTCTGAATTGGATTTCAGGAGAACAATCAAAGGTAACTACATTCTCTGCTCAAAGGTGATGACTAGGTAAGTTTGGTCACGAATTGAGAGAAAGAAAAACAACAACAACAACAACAAACCAACAAACTGAAGGACTAAACAGAGAGAAAATAGTTATGCTTAAGGGACAAGTGGTATAAGAACAAACAATTAAAGAAATCAGAAAGAAAAAGCCTGAAAGCAAACAAACAAACAAAAATCAACCAAGTGTGATGCTATTAGAACCAAGGAAAGACTATCAAGTAGGGAGGAGTGGTCTGATATTGCCAAATAATCCTCACTTTGTCTGAAATTCTTAAAACATGTTTTACAATCCTCAAACTTTTCAGTAAAAGGTAACAAAGAACATAAGCCTTATTAAGGAATACGTCAAACAAGATGTGTAGCAATACCTCATAATTAATATATGAATATGTCTATAATTAAACGTATTAAGAACAGCACTACTCAAGATATTAATCAATACTATAGTATCTGACTCCCTAATGTTGGTTTGAACAGCAAGGTCGGTGGTTCAAGCTCACTAGCTGCTCCTTGGAAACCCTATACAAGGTTGCTATGAGTCAGAACCAACCCTACAACACCACAACAATAACAGTCTCATTCAGCTTCAGGTCAGCAGCCAAGTGAAACCGGGTCACTCAGGTGCTACAGCCAAATGATTTACGAAAAAACTTTTGGTTTCAAAGCATTTATATTTCAAAACATGGATAACAGACTTGTATTCCTATATTTAAAACTTTTAGAAGTTGAGAATAAATATTTATGTGAACTATTTTACTTTATTACAATCTTATTCTCAATGAATTAAACTAAAGACATCTCTTAATTGATTACTATCAATTAAAAACGAAATGATAGTAAAGTTAAGATACAAGTCAAAATAATGCTAAAATACAATTTCAAAAAACAAGACTTCATGTAAATATGGAAGAAAAGTGTTATTCTTAAGGAAATATTCCTTGCAGATAAGTATTTCTATAAAATTTGGAAGAAATATAACTGTAAAAATTGGAGATAATTGTAAAGATGCAGGATTTGGCACTCCAGTTGCACTGCAAACCTTGCTTTAAAGAAACTGAAACTGATAATTGCAAATAAGGCATTAAGAATTTGGCTTATGAAGAAAGAAAAAGCAGAACTAAACAAGTAAAATCTTAATCAGAAAAAGACGGTGGCACTACATCAAGATACTGGTGAATAGATGCACATTTATCAATTTTAGTTGAAGTAAAATATTCAAGGTATATATTACCTTTGTGATTCTGACCCTGATTTAACTTATTTTTATCAGCTCATTCATTATTGTTCCAATTGTTACATTTGAGGGAGTCCTGGTATGGCACTAGAGAATAAGCCTGGTATGGCACTAAGCTAACTGTGAGGTCAGTGATTTAAACCCAACTGCTCCTTGGAAATCCTAAACAGGGGGGTTATGTGTCAAAATCAACTAGACTCAACGGCACTTAATAACAACAACACTGTAGTAACTAAGAATTATGATAATTTTCAGGGTTTTTTTTTCAGCAAATTCTAGAGTATTTTAGCAAACATGTTGGGATTCCATGTTTCATTATCTGCCCAATGTCAACTCCTTACTTTTCTACTAAGCAAGGAATCTGCAATCCTCTGCTCCACCTGTCTCAAAAACAGGTTTCTTTCCACTAAGAGTAGACTCCAAATGTAAAAGAACAGAAGTATATTTTTAGAGAAAAAGAAGTTGGAGTCAAAAGAGAAATTAAGATATTTAAGGCAAATTAAATTACAAGAAACTTTTTATACCACTCTTTCACAAGAATAAAAATTCTAACAAACTGCTTTTCTAATGATGAGCTTTAAAGACTGTTTTGTCTGTTTAAACTTTATGTTCTGAAGCATGATACTCCCTCTCTTCACTTATCAACATGGTTAAGTTCCAAAGACAAAGTTGTTTTGGGAAACTGGTGTTATGTGAGTTAAGGGCTACATCTTTGGCACCATTCCCCGCTCACTCACTGCCCATAAGATGCACCCATTGTGTTTCAGGATGTGCCTGACATGGTAGACCCCCATCTTTACCAGGCTTTTCTTACCACCACAGAGTTCTCAGGGGTTGAGGTGATGTTGGTTGGGTGTTGCCTGCTGTCCACCAACTCCACCAGCCATTAATGCTAGGCCCGGAATCTGTTCATCCTCCACCCTTGCCGTAGGCATGGGAATTCTGTTTGTCCCCCATCTGCCCTGAGCCCACACCCCTTCGTGGCCCCCTTCCCTTTCACCCTCTTTCTACTTTCCCACACTAATCAGCCCATCATTGTAAGGCCCTCTCCTGATATTCCCCTGCCCGTCCACAACTTCGTATCATCTGGTCGTTCCCCAGTAACATCCATAGTCAAACTGAGACATCTATGACAAACAATAAAAGGCATCCCATCACTGGTCAGTCACTGTCACCTAAGTGTTATGGTAGATTGTTCAGGGGGCATCTTCACATGGAGCCTGCCTGAACCACTGAAGGTGCCATCTGAGAATTTTTTCAAAGTTATAAAGTGAAAAGTTGGATAACGTGATAGTTGATAAATGAGGAGTATATTTACTTATTTACTTACATATGACTAGGACTTTTAAAGATTGTGTGTCAATATCCCAAAACATATTATATATTCTAACCCTACAGTTTATATTACAAATACCATGATCCATTCACCTACCTTTTAGATAAAACTCCCTCTTATACCTCTGGTCTGCTGTTTCTTTGTTTTTTAAGGTTTTTATTGTGGATTGAATCAGAGTTTACA